ACTGCAAAAGGCCTTGTCCACTAAGAGCAAAAAATTGCCTCTATTAAAATAAAATATTTTTGCAACTGCTATCAGGAGTCCCAAAGTTAAGAGCATTATGGTTTTCATACCACTGTTAATTTTGGTCTGGAGCACAGACTCTTTCAGCTGCTGACATTTCAGGTCAGGCTGTGTAACAATCACCTTCCAGATACTTACATTTACTCCAAAATGGTCCTGAATTTGAATAAACCTGTAGAAATGAGAGGCCATAAAGCTCTTGTCCTTGGCTAAACCCTTCACTGTGTGTTTGAGATTTCAACGAGTTTAAGATAGGATTTATCAGTATTACTGTTTCTTTTAGTAATATACGGAATTCCAGCACAGAAGCTTCTGTATGATTCATTGGCACTGAAGGAATGGCACTTAGAGATAAACAATGACAACAGGAGAAGACATGATGTCAAAAAAATACTTAACATTTTACATAGTACAGGCTCACACTTTCACATGCATCTTGATAAACAGGAAACCCATTCTTATTTTCTAGAGAGCTTTGGGAGTTTTGAAGCTTGAAGTGTGCGGGTCAGATTTAGAAAAGAAAATTCAGACACCTGTTAGTAAAAAGACCAGACTTCTTATTAACGAGGGGTTGTGAGGTAACCCCAAAACGAGGACACTTACAATGTAGTCTAGGTTCTGATTTCACGTTTTCAAGAAGATTTGTGCAACCAAATAATTTGAGTGTCTGTGTTTCATATCTACCCAAAAGAATGTTACAGTTGTGAAAATCTTTTTAGATTCTGCTCCTCAGTGTGGGTCTAATGTACATAAAATGACGTTTATTTTTGCTAAAAAAAGATATTGAGTTAGAAATTCCCCAGGATACTTTGAAGGAACTCTAAAAACTATGTGTTTATGGGAAGTAAAATGCAGACACAGGGCCTTCTAAGCATGATTTCACTTTTCAGGGAATATGGGGCCAATATACTACTGAATCTTTGGCAATTAAATCAAAGTGACTAAAGGCAGGTCCATTCAGTTATGGTATTCCTGATGTAAATGGAAGATAATGAAGTGAGACATAAAATTTAACAACAGCATCCTTGCATTGATTTGACATCTAGAAAAGTCCTTTAAACTTTTAAAATGTAGAGCCAATTGTAATATTTCAGTACTAAAATGACAGATGTAATTCTTCTGTAATATTACAGTAATATTAACTTTATTTAACTATTCTTAATTTTATATAATTTTATATAATTTATCTTAAAATAAAGATTTATACTTTTCAAATACAATATTTCTTGACATGGTCAGTCCTTTTTTTTCATTTTAGACCATCATATTTGTACCATTTTCTTACTGACTTCTCACATCAGCTTTTACAGCAGTTTTCAAGAAGGTAACTAATTTTATGGTTCAGAGTAATGATGATCCTTCAGAACAAAGGTTTGAAGCCATAGGTAGTTGGAAAAATGCAGATAGCATAAAAATATAAATATATATGTATATATATACCTCCCACAAAAATACCATCTCTTTGGGTCAGAACAGAATTCTTTAACACTTTGAATAGAACTTAAGAAAACATCCCTGAACCTGATTGTTTTTCTGAGTTCATTACCCAGCCACTTTCCCACAGGCTGATTTCACATTCTTATTCCAGTGAGTGACTGTGTCTTCGAAGAAATTATTTGCTTCCTTGTGCTTTAGGCTTCCTCTTGGCCCTGGAGTGCAATGGTAACATGAAATATGATGGCATTTTTTTCTTTAATAGTGCTCTCCACACTGGGTGTATTGACAAGTAGGTGTAAAGTGTCTTCTGTTTGCTACCTCCCCTGTGATCTGATGTGGACATACCCTTGACCAGAAGTTCTCTTTGCCCCATTAGATAGCTGTGCCAGTATATTTCTTGACAGATTATATATATATATATATATATATATATATATATATATAAATAATAGAACTGTGGTGCTGATGTCCTGGCTACATTGGCATGTTACTGACCGAGAGGGGTGTGGAGCAGCAAGGCACAGAAAATCCACTATACATTCTAACATTTAGGCTTTATCCTTTATTAGGTAGTGAGTAAGAGACAAAAAGAACTGAGTTTGTTGTTTACAGCTGAACTTTAAAAGAGACTGGTGTGAACAAAAACTTGTTCCATAGAGCACTGTGACAAAAGAGGTCCAAGAAAACTGAAGGTGTCATTGCAAATTAGCTGATGTAAGTAGTTGGAATGACACTCTTTTATTTCTAGCAAAATTTGTATCAACTCTGCTCTTAGTACTGTGCCTCCATACATGCCACAGGCCACATTTTGGCAAGGATCAGCCTGTTGATTTTGATGGCATCATAACAACATGGCAGGGTGTACAGCAGGTGTCCATGCACCAGAAGGCTGTGCATAAGAGCCTTCAGGATATTTGTCTATCTCCCATTTTCCCATCTGCCTGCTTCCTCATGGGGAAAAGATAGCCTGCCCAGACTTTCTACCTTCCCAAAATGTGAGTACTCCTCTGCTCCTTTAGCAAGATCTTACTTACACAGGCTCTTACAAAAGGCTCTGGAAAACAAGTGGTGGTTCATGGAGCACAGCTTGAAAGCTGCTGCCCTTTTCAAGGAGGAATCTGAACGCAGCTGGCAATGGCACTACAGCTTCTGCAAACAGATGGAAGGTTGAAAGCAGGCTGAAAAGATCAAGTCCACTGAATCTTACTATCTCATGTACCCAAATAAAATGAAAAAATTTCTAAATTGAGTGTGAGGAGCAGGTTTTGATGGCTGGCTTATTTACTGCCTCTTTACTGGGAGCTGTAGAGTAGAGAGCCCTTTTAAATGTCAGCCCCTAGTTATTTACATGTCTTAACTTGGCTTCAGGAACTTACTCATACTGTTGTTTTGAAAATTAGGCCAAAGCAATCCAGCTGGTAATTAGCCCTGGAATCACTATCATGTCTTTTTCATGGCTACATTGGTGTGAATTAAATATAAACAAAATCTCATTTCATTTCAAGGCACAAACGTTTGCAAATAAACTGGATGAAATACAAATACATAATACAGAACTTATTTTAATATTTCTAGATAAATAAATGCATCTCTTTGGAATTCTTTGGACACAGATATCCATGGAACCTCTTCTTTCTCTCTCTTTATATATTTTTTATAAAATCTAAATGCAGAGAGGTTTAAAAAATGGCAAATACAAATGTATATGGAAGGCTCACTGATGAACTGCAAGTCAAAAGTGCTGTATATTCCCATCCTCTATATCTCCCACCTGTCTGCATTAACTACAGGCAGCATAATATATACCAACCATATGGTCAATATTTTGCATTACTGCCTTTTAATGAAATCTTTCAAATAATTTTCCCATCTAAACTTAAATTATGCTTTTAAATTTTATTCTGCCTAAATGTATGGTAGGCATTTCACTTAGCTACACATCAGAGTGGTTGCATGTGACTCAGCAGCACACTCCATAATATTAATAGATACTTTTCAGCTCCCTATGGGAAAAAGCAGGCAGCAAGGATTATTTTTTTCTCTGTTGTTTGTTACTTACCACTTAATGACCCACATGTGAAATCAATGGTTATATAATTATTTTATATAGTAGATTTTCTGTTTATAAGTTATTTTTCTTACTCTAACATATATACAATATATCTATATATACCCCTGATAAATCTTACTTTAAAGGGACACAGTCAACCCCTTTAAGCCTCACAGTAAATATATAAGGCTTTAAGCTGTCCATACATCACGGTCAGCTACAGAATTCAAGGGTCCCTTGAGATCCTAAAAGTTGTATTTGTTCCAAACCCATGATGTGCAGTTATCTCGTAATATGTATCTCATGTGTCACTGTTTACATTTTATAGGTATATTAAGACATTTTATATCACATCAGTAGGAAATAAAACAAGGGAATAAGTCTGTTGCTAAGACTAAACCTATTGCAAAAATATTACCTGTATCTACAGACACTCCCACTGGTGTGATATAAAATGAATATGTGCCATTCTTGGGATAAAAGTCTGGCTACACTGCAGTCAGAAGGAACTTTAAACTGACTTAAATGAGACCAGGATTTCTCTCCTGTTTTTCATTTGTCAGTTATGACTCTGAGTAACTGGTTTGTGTCTTCCCTCTGCACAACACTGCAGTGTCAGGCTTGTTTCATGACAAGATCATATTTTTTTGTTTTCCACCGTCATGTCTTAAACATTGATCTATCATGTATGTATTACACTTTTTGATTAAACACACAGTGTACACATACATTCTCAGTTAAATAAATGTTTGACCCATTCCGCTGTGTACAGTATCTGAATGATTTTTCCCCCACTAGATCCTCTTTATCACTTTCTTTGCCCTAACCTAAATAATTTTCATTCTTATGTGAGTGAGGAAAACTTTGCTCACCAGGAACAGCTCCACGTTATTGTAATAATTTTGACTACTTACCAAAGTGACATAATTTTGTTCATTTTATCTTTTGCAACTCAGTTAGAAACCTAGTGGCATAGATAGAGACACAATACTACTGTTTTACAAGACATCTATTGTATCTACTTTTGTTCAGATAAATACCCAGTAACTGCTGATTTGGCAGGAGGATTGGTAAGGGTACTACTATTCACAGTGTTTCTTTTTTTTTTCCTTCTTCTTTAATCTACAGAATAAAGTATTTTATATACATTGGAACCAGTTAATGCCCTTTAGACAAATGTGTAAGTTGTTTCATAAAGCAGGAAAGACATTGCAGGGAAATATGTGCTAAAATGCACAGTCAAAAGGCTTTGTAAGTTTTATATGTCACTACAAGTCAATGCTGGAGATCAGTTCTAAAACGATCAATGCTCAAGAGAAATGTTCTTATCTGGAGAAAATACCACCCATTCCCCCTTTCAGAATTTGTTCAGTTCTCTATCAAAAGTTCTGGCTCTTCATATATACTTTAAACTATAAATAAACACTGCATAGTTCAATGTTCTTGATTTTCATTTTTTTTTTGTTTGTTTTGATTTGAAAAATTATTGCAGTACAATTAATTCCTGTTTGGAGTTCAGTAAGGAGCAAACAGCACGGGAGTGTGGGTGGTCCGTATAGGCCCAGGAGCTGGTCGTAGGAGTGCTGGAGGAAGTGCTGAAGTCTGGAAAAGGGTGGCTGCTGGGGCTGTGCGAAGACTGAAGGGGGAATTCACAGCCACAGCAGCAGCTGCTGCTGCAGCTGCTAGCGGGTTTGGTAAGATTCGTGGGGCCATCGGCTTTGAAGGTTCCTTTGAAAATACTAATTTTACCTGTGGGGAAGAAGAGAAAACAAACAAACAGAGACACATAATTTTTTTTCATATTAGCTACGTGAGAGGGACCTTGATTTAAGATTATATGTGCAGAATCAAGCAAGAGAGGCCTCGAGGTGGTTACTGACTCTGTGAGCTACAGACTTGTAACAGGTGATACAACCTCCCCCGTGGACAAGGTACAGGGATTTGGTTGGGGACAAAGAGTTCCAGTATTCACACCTAATTGCTGACACTCACAATTTAATATGAGATTAGAAATCAAAGCAAATCTAAAATGGGACTGGGGAATCTGCACCAAAGTAAAGCTGCATGTACCCTGCAACAATTAAACAAGGAAAGATCAGATATCGATCAATAGATCTCCATCTGGACAGCTGAATGTAGAGACCAGTGCGGAATGAAAACATATCTTATTCCCTAGTCTTGCAAGATACTTTTCTTTTAATTATTAGGATGAGAGTTCTACATAAAATTAAGATCTCCATATTGTGGAGACTCTGGGGGGTCATTTCATGGTTTTGAGAGAGTCCAGCTTGCAACATCATACAGCTCCTCTTCATTTACTCCTGCTTCTAATAACAAGCAAATAAACCAATTTTATCTTTCATGAGTTATGAAAATCTCTTGTGTTTCACATGTTTAAATGGGCACTGTCCCATATAATTCTGCTGTGTATTCAACTGTTTTCCACTAAGACCGTGTTCATTCTTACAAGGATTGTGAAAACCTGGTAGATATTTTAAAGTAGTATTCTGCCAAACTATGATATTTCTGTTCCTGTCACTGAGGTTTCTTCTTAAAAAACATTTTAAATCATAATATGATTTTCTTGTGGACTACCAAATACAAATCAAAAACCCCCTCATTAAGAGTTTTCTAAAAAAGGGAAAACCCCCAAACCCTGAAGTTTTTCCAAGACTGAAAATACTCACAAGAGGTTCAGTAATATTTAAGAAAATTTACATTTGGGATGCGTACAAATGACCATCAGAGTAGTCTCTATAGATTTCTCTAGTTTTCAGTAGAACTTCAAGTTCCTAAGGAGATGCCAAGAGCCTGAATACCTTTGCAGTCCCGTTTTTATAACTCTGAGATAAGATTAGAAACTTCATTTACTGACAAAGAAAAGTTCCCATTGTTTCTGATGGACTTTTGGTGGGTCTGTATCCTAGTATGATTTGAGGCCTCTTACAAAGGGCATAAACCTTACTACATGGTATTGAATATACAGAATATATGCACTACGCTGTGGTACATCTCAGTGGAAGTATAGACACATTTTACTTACAAGGAAACACAATTTCTCGTTTTTGACTTGAAAGAGATTTTCAAGTAACTCTGACATTTTCAACTCAACAGAACCCTAGTGTGTTAATCATCAGAAATTAAGGACAGGAGTACTCTGGCATGAACCACAACTGAGTTTCATCATTACATTATCACCATATTCCAAAAGGTCTGTTGGTTCTTTACTGGCCAGATGGATTGAGGATTTTTATTTTTCCCAGTACCTATTGGCAAAACTGCTGGCTTCCAGGCCCTTTAAATCTCTGGAAGAAATACTCAGATCAAACCAAATTCTTTAATTCTCTATAACAAAGGATATAATAGATGCTAGATATAAAATTCATGATGGTGCCTATTAAAAGCAACGATCTGATTTTTCCTTGATCAGTGTTATGCTCGCTGATCCAAACTGCCTTCTTCCTTTGCTGAATATATGACTTTTTCCTCCCTTCTTCCATTTTTTAATCAATATCTTTTACAGCCTTATTTAGAATAGAAAAATTCTTCAAACTAAAAACTAACTAACAAACAAAAACACAAAACAAAACAAAAAACCCCCCACCCAAACAGGATAAACAAAACAAAACAACCCCAAAACAACCCTGAGGAAAAAAAGTAACCCTGAGTACAAAGTACTCTTTGGTTTAGAGTTGCCAGTGAAGGATGCTTTTTGTAACAGCTATTTTATTGCAGAAAGTTTGGACTATACAGTGCTTGATAACCATTTTTTCTCCAGTGCCATATTTTATGATGCTGGACAGTGTGGCTTGAAGAAATAGCAAGCAAGTCCCAACACTACAAGACTTCTCAAACTCTGAAATATCACTGTGGGAATGTATAATTTTTCTGTCTCAGAAGCATGTAAATCTGGAACAGACAGAGAAGTACCAATGATATTGAAAACATGGTAAAATCAGGTTTTTGGTCTAGAAAAGCAATGAAAATATAGCATGTCTTTTTTAAATTTCTGTAGACAAATTTGGTGATGTCCATACATTTTGTGTAATGAAGAACAAAGATCTCATGTGACTGTTTCTATTAAAAGACTAAGGCTTTCTTGCCATTCTTGGAGGAATCAGGTAGTTCTATTTAAATTACTAGATTATTTCTAGTTAGATAGCTTTTCAGTTCACTTATCAACATGATTCTGATTTCAAGGTAGCTGCAAAACTAGTAATACTTAACATATGCAGTGCCTTGCATGTTCATTTATAACCTCTAATTTACTCACAGGTCAACATTAGAAGTACAATAACCATTACTTGTTTCATTTCCAATGAAGTAAACTAGGGGACAAATAGCTTGAAATATTAATGGGAAGCATCCTGGTTTCAGCTTGGGAGAGGTAATAAAGGAAAAGTAAAGAAAGAGCATTAAATTAAAGGTGAAACTAGTTGGTTTGTTGCGGTGCTATTCTGCAATTCAAGTGACAACAATTCCCGAAGTTTTTATATTCAAAACCAAAAAGATTAAATGGAGAACTGGTCTCTCTTTTCTTATTGAATCCACAATTCCACTACATATATCTGTTCATTTATTGCTAGTTTTTTCTCTCCTTCTTAAATCCCTTTTGCCTTTTTGATGCCCTCTAGCCTGACCTGTATATTGTGAGCAATTGGGATTGAGGGAGAAAGAAAAGGACACACTGCTGTTATTTGTCTTGAACCTTGGCTGGAGTTCTCAGAAATCACCATTATATAAATTGGTAGAGAGCTGTGCACAACCACAACAACAATGTAATAGTTGTTTTTATCCCGTGAAAAATAATGAATTTTCTAAAGGAATAACAATCCTGTCAGAAAGGCTTTCCTGATTCCATATCTTACTTACCCTATTACATACTTTCTATTACTTTCAGTATAGTTTGTATTGAAGACCTTGAACTTTCTTGTGGAGAAAGACTGAGAAACCCTATGGGGCTATTTCCCTATTAGTGGATCTACAAGAATAGTGCACTGCTTTATTCTGCAACTGAATCCTGCATGAATATGCCACTCACGAGGACTGCCCCAACAAGGAAACAGTTTCTGTTGCCAAGAGCTTTAACTCAATGTAAAGAGAAATGGGTTTTCACAGGAAAAAAAACCCCAAAAAAGCGCTCCATAGCTCTATATTGTGCCTGCATCAGAGAAGATGGTCAAGGCATAAGAGGCTAATCTCTATGAGGACAATGAATCAACATTCCCTCTGCCAGAACCATTTATAAAACCCTACAAAGCAACAGATATAACATTCACAGAATTCACAGAATTCACAGAATTCTCAGAATAACTAGGTTGGAAAAGACCTTCAAGATCATTGAATCCAATCCACACCCTATCACCTCAACTAAACCATGGCACTGATTGCCACATACAGTTTTTTTTTTAAACACATCCAGGGATGGTGACTCCACCACCTCCCTGGGCAGGCCATTCCAGTACTTTATCACTCTTTCCATGAAAAACTTTTTCCTAATATCCAACCTATATTTCCCTTGACACAGCTTGAGACTGTGTCCTCTTGTTCTGTCAATTGCTGCCTGCTGCAAGAGACCGACCCCCACCTGACTACAACCACCTTTCAGGCAGTTGTACAGAGCAATAAGGTCACCCCTGAGTCTCCTTTTCTCCAGGCTAAACACCCCCAGCTCCTCAGTCATTCCTCACAGGGCTTGTGAGGAATGACTGAGGAGCTGGGGGTGTTTAGCCCCTCACCAGCCTCATTGCCCTCCTCTGGACGTGCTCCAGTGTCTCAAGGTTCTTCCTAAAGCGAGGGGCCAGAACTTGACACAGCACTCAAGGTGTGGCCTCACCTGTGCCGAGTACAGTAGGAGAATGACCTCCCTGCTCCTGCTGGCCACAGTATTCCGGACACAGACCAGGATGCCAATGGCTTTCTTGGCCACCAGGGCCCACTGCTGGCTCATGCTCAGCTGGCTGTCAACCAGTGCCCCCAGGTCCCTTTCTGCCTGGCACTGTCCAGCCACACTGTTCCCAGCCTATAATGCTACAGGGGGTTATTGTGGCCAAAATACTCATTTATGCAGTTTAACTGATGGAGAAGATAAACGTCAGGTGTTTCACTATGCCACCCATAATATAAGCTGATTCTTAACTAGTGGCAGCATCCTAGAAAGTTTTTTATTAAAAAAAGTTTCTCAGCTTTTGGAGCTAGTAAGAATTGTGTCCAATTTCAGATGGTTTATCTTGGCAGTTCAAAATGTGACCAGAAACATTCTGAAACAGTTGAATGAAAGAAGAGGCAGATTTTTTTAATAGTTTCACTTGTTATCTCAATAATTCTCTAAATAAGGATAGAATGAATTGTTTATGTTTTATAGAGTTTTGTTTAGTTATTTCATCACTATTGTCTTTGGTGAAAACTGGAAAAATCCTATTTGACATCTGGAGGTTTTTTCCATCTCTTGTTCTCTAGTGACCTTTGCAACAAGCTTATTGTGTGAGGTTATTCAGAGTAGCTACAAAAGCAAGGTTGTAGTAAACACGCCTTAAAGAATACAAAAAAAATCCCTTGTAGGCTTCCAGTGGCCCCTTCCTGTACTTGATACACTATTACTCCACTTCTAAATATTTTCCCACTTACATTTTCTAAAAATCCTATTCATCAGGATTAAAATAAAAGTCAAATAAAAAAGGGTGATTGGCTTACCCCTAGCGGATGTGTTCCTTTTTGGAGTTTGTTGTAAGGGCTGTATTTAGGTTTGGGTGGCTTCCCAGCAGCTCTGTCTTTGTGCCTTCTACTGCTTATGTGCTGTTAAAATATATTGGGGCGGGGGGAGGAAAGGAAGAAAACAAAGGGTAATAGTTGATATTTCCACAACAGATCAATTCAGGTTCTGGTTTACACGACATTACTGCTCCAATATGAAAGGCTTTTGCTCTACAGCAGCATTACCTTGACTAATTCAATAATGAGAAGGAATAGCTCTTTTGAAGTTTGAAGGATCCTTTGTGCACCACATATTGGGACTGTAATTTTCATTAGTCCTAAGTTCAGCTATGCTTCCACTACAGTTAAATATTTTCCCACCTTTTCTAACTTCAGCAGGACTTGAGTCAGGTTAAAGCCTTTGAAAAACTCCTCCCTACTTCTATAAATCACACATCAAATTCAATCCACTGCTGATAGAAAGTTTTTAAGGAATATTAGGTAGTAAAACATCCCTTATTTGGGGAAGAAAATTGTTTAAATCCCCAAGCTGCCTGGAGATCCTTCTGAGATGGTTACATATCAAACTAAGAGACAGTGAAAAAAAATGCATGAAATCCATTATCTTCTTCATAAGATCTATGAGATTGTTAAAATATCTTTCTACACAGACTATCTTGCAGTAAGGAATCTTTTTCAGAATTCTTTTTTTTTTCTTTGATTTTCATTTTCAAGAGAATTACCACAATAAAAATACATAGAACTGGACTTTTTTGTCTGAGACCAGAAGAATGGGTATTGCTATTGTCCATTATTGAATTAATCTTCTTTCTTGTAAAGTTCCTTTACAAGTATTTAATTCCAATAAGCATATGGAATTAAACTAAGTGTTTTTCAGAAAGCTTTGATCATCTGAAGAATGACTGAACATAACTTAGTGTAATTGCAATTCAGAGGTCATGCTTTTCAGTTAAAGTGAAACATTGATAAAAATATTAGAAATCCACTCCATCCCACATTTCTAAGTGGGTTACTTAGTATTCTGGGAAAGTACTGATTGCATCCACCTTCACATCTTTGTCAAGGCAAATATGCAGTACATGAAATGGCAGAGTTTATTAGCTCAGGACAATTCTAGCAGTCTAAAGATAGTTGTAACGTGTTACACCTTCTATAACTCTTTACCAAATGTGTATAATTGAGAGCTTTTGAGAAGACATATTCCATGCAAGGGAATATCAAATCAAAACAAAACATACAGCATGGCGACCAAAAACAGTGGACAAAACTGTGAGTTCCATTTGGACACAAATTGTTATATTGGTATGTGCTGACTGTGTTGGTACTTTGCCACCATGAAAACAAAGAACAGCCAAAAATTCTCACTCTACAAGCTGGCTGAGTACCTGTTTCAGTTGTGTCTCGGAGTTTACGTGCACATCACATATTTCACAGTGAAATGTTTTGTTCTGAAGGCCTGTGTTTCCTTTATTCACAGGTCCTTTGCCTTTAACGCCTGCCCGGGGAAAGGCTTTTATGGTTCCACTTCCATTCCGAGCTTCCAGCATAGTTTTGTGCTTAGTCCCTGGAAACAACAGAAATGGAAAACAGAAACAACTTTGTCAATTGGGTTGCATTAGTTTTTTTTATTTTCTTTTTAAAATAAAATCATATGAACCTCAGCTTGGTGCCATGTGCTATCCTTGGAATAGGACTGTCTTGGTCTGTATCAGAGTCATACCAATGTATTTCACGCCTGATATTTATTTACTAAATTACATACCTATAGGTAATGCACTAGAACAAAGCAGCCAGACCAGAAAGTAGCAGCACAGATACCCTGATGTGAAGTTAAATGTGTGTGACTTTTCTCATTAACTCCTGCTGCTAATAAGACCTGAATTGTAGTTGCAAAAGAAAAGTAATTTAGCTATTAAAGATGTAGTTGGCTTTGATTTGTATTCCTCCTGAACAGATTGATAAACAGTATGTCTAGGTAGCTTACAATTAAATCTGTAATTAACAAATTACTTTCCAAACCAGAAAGGGGTAGAGGTTCCTGGAAGCAACCTATGGATCGTTAACATCTTGGACAAAAACAAAAACATGTGAGAAGCATATATGAGAGAAACATACAATTGCTTTTTTTTTTTTTAATTGTAAATAAAGGTTGCATAGAGAACACTGGTGTTCTTTTGCTGCACCTTTATTCAGACAGAACATTTTCTTACACTGTTGACTCCCACACAGGTAGTCTTGTGATGATAATGGACTAACTACTGCACACAGAACCATCTCTCCACTGCTAATTGCTGTATGCATCCAAAGAGACTTGTAAAAAAATGCATGTGTGTGAGCACACATGCTTTATCAGCACAGGCAGCAAAACCTTGGAAGGTTGTGTTTAAATATTCAGAATAGTGTTTTGGCTCTCAGCCTGATCAGAATATTTAGAGTCTACATTAAGTCAAATAGTTTAAAAGGGTACAGCTTGAAGTTGATCTTTCACCAGTTGAAGATCTGGCATACAGTAAACAGCATTCAAAACTGATGGAATTTTGTTTCTCATAAATGCCAAGCTATCATTTCCATTCTAATTTGGATTCTATAGATATGCCAAAGTTATTTCTTTTTAAATTGCATCATAAAACCTTTGATCATTTTGCTCTAGGTATATTATAACTGTCTCTACATTTCAAACCGAAGGTTCTCTTTCTATCTCTGAACCCTACTTACCCTTGATAAGAGGTAGCCCCTAACATCCAAGATCAGGAACTTTCTGTAAGATGGCTATAGGTGGTCACTGCCACCATATCAAATCCCTAGATCTTTTAACCCCACCCACCAATGAGCCTATCAATAACATGCTTAAATTAGTGACTGTGAATGGTGGCTGTGTACAGCAAGAACTTACTGATGCTACTAGCTCTAATGATAAGATAAAGTTCAAAAACTAAGAAAGATGGAGGTAGGTAATTACCCATTCAACCCTCATGCAGCAGCTGCTATCAGTTGATGAAAACAAAGGGAAAATATACATAATTTTAAAAGTTATTTATTAGCAGACAATAGAGAGCTAAGAACTCTAATTCCCATCATTGAACTCTGACTGACTGATGCTCCCTCTTTCAGCCTTAATTTGTTAAGTTTCAAAAAAAGCTAATGGCATTCATTCTCAGTTTGCTAGTTGGCACAAGCAAAACTATGCAAACTCTGAACACCAAAGGTAATGAAGCAGAGCTGTCATTTAGCTCAATAAGGTTTTGAAGCTGCAAAGGCTAAAGTGTAAGAAAATCTGCAACTTGCAATAAATTTTTCTTTCTCTTTTCTGAAAGCCTCTTTGCCTGTCATTTTTATACTTTAATAGTTAATGAATTCCATGTAATTGCCAGTTTTCTGCCACCTCTTTGTCCCCTGCTGCAAGAGATCTAATCTATTCAGGGGAAGATAATTGCAGCACTCTTGAGACAGAAGGAAAAAAAAAAGGAAGCAAGCAAGCACTGCTCCATCTCACCACTGTTGTGCGCCTCCAGCTGTGAGGCAGAGTTGACAGCGACTTTGCATAGTGAACAGTACAGCAGTCTTTTTGCTTTTTCTTCCTCAGTCTCAACGGAAGGGCAAGTGCTGCTGCTCGTGGCTGTTGTGGGGATTTTCTCCACTTTAGAGGTGATCTCAGTTGTCATAACACTGCTCTTCCGGATTTCCACGGTTGTCGTCGTTGATATTGCTGGTGTCCCTGTGTTTGCGTCTGTGGGCAAAGAGAGGAGATGGAAAGAAATGAAAAAAAGCAGAAAAAAAATCGTGTGACCTTTGGTGTTTCCTTTTTGGCGTCCCATTGCTGTGATGACACAGAGAGGCAGATTGCTCTGGTGATGGTTTGACTAATGGCAATGAACTAAACCTGACCCTTCTCTTTCTATTTTGTGTGGTTACAAAATACAGTACTCCCATGTATTAGAAAACCATGTGTTGTTCCCTGCAGTCTGCTCACACAGAACTCATAAACTGAACAAAAAGGTCATTAAGAATGTACTGTACAACAGGAGAAAAATGCAATAAAAGAGGTCATGAAAATTACCAGCACAACAGGCAGTTTAAATTTATACACACAACTTCAGACGCATAAACAGCCATAGTAACACATAATACTGATGCTGACTGGACAGCCAAGCTAAACTCTTAACATCTTGTACTAATAAAACTAAAATTAATAAATTCACCTTTATATCTGGTAAAGAAAGAATAAGAACTTGATACTTCCCTTGATTTTTCCCGACACCAACACTAAAAGAATGAAGGTAATTATGAATAGGCAGTACACATCATCCATTATTGCATAATAATGATATATACTAATAACAGTAACCAAATATATCTATATCATTCCCTGTCTGAGACCTAAACAACCACTAATAAGATTTTTATTCTGTCTATCAGTTGGAAAGACTGCAAGCTAGGTATGTACCTAAATCTGGAAACTTATTTCTTGCAGCTAAGAACTTGTGCTTTTCCTGTATTTATCAAATGAAAGCGAGAGAAAATACACAATGATATTTTAATTTGGATCATTGATACATGATGTTTGGATAAGGCAGTATCATGTGGTTGTTAAGTACTTAACAGGGTGGAGGACAGCAAAATGCAGCAGTGAAGGCAGTGAAGAAGATGGTGGGTAGGGGACACAAGAAGAAGACAAAGGACAGGAACTGTTCTGCCTTTGCAGTACTGTATTTTATTATATTAAGCTTACTGAGCAGCAGCTTTTAATAAAAAATTATCTTAGTTAATTTACTGAAATATGCCTGGATTTGGCTCACTTTGGTTTCATACATCACTTGGTGTTAGTGATGCTCTACCTGTACTATGTTTTATTTACTGCCTCCCATCAGAATAGACAAAATAGCAATTCTTCCACCTACAGTGCTAAGTATGTGCTCCAATGCAGAAGGGACACAGCTAACTGATACCACAGTGGTGCGTTGCAGACTGGTACTGTTCAAAACTTTGTTAATGGAGAACATTCCTAATAGCTTAGCAGGCAATATTAAATTGGGGAAAGTTTTATTTTATATTTAATTTTGATTGTTTTCTTTGTTTATTTGCTTCTTTTCAGAAAAATCTTTCAGTAGCAGACATGAACACAGATCTTTTCTATCATTGTGCTATAAAACAGGTCCCCACCACACTGAAATTGCAAAGCAAAATATTTAGGAGGTATTTTTTTTTCTTCTCTGATCAGCTCTGAAGGTCCTCTGTCCAGCCTGGAAACATCAAAAAATATCCCCAAAATTATTTGCTTTGCTATTAATTTAGAAACAATACAAATGCAAAGCAATAAGAGAGGATTTGTGATGGAGTAAGCCAAAGGAAATTAGAAGTTTATAAAACTTGAACTGTGAATATGGAAGAAAAAGGGCAAGCATTAACAGCATTTTTCATATCTGTAGAAAGTAGCTAAAAATAAGAGAATATACTCTTCTCCCTTATCCCTCCTAGTAAAACAAGGACTATTGGCTTACATCAGGAGAGATTTAGATTAGATGCGAGGAAATTCTTTCTAATAATAAAGTTTATGAAGCCTGGGAATAACCTACCTACACAGATCAAAAAATATTTCCTACTGGGGGACTTGAAGCTGGCTGAACAAATATCTACACAAATATTATTCCCTTTCAGTCAGTGGGAATATGGCCCTTTAAGCTCTATTAAGTTCTATACATTGTGCATTATGTCATGTTTCTACATACACTCCCAGAGGGTTTTTAAAAATTATAATTCACAAATCCAAGAAAGCAGTTTTTCCTGTGAATATTCTAGGTATTGACAGGCAATGTCATGCATTGCAAAACAAAAGCATGTAACAAAAAAATAAAGTTGCACTCAAGGTCAAATCAGAGTTTGGTTTTCTTTTTCCTGAAAGTGTGCCTGAAGGTTGTCATATCCTGAAGGTACTGGGGATGTCCAATATCAGTGCAGAAGGAATGAGGCTACCTTGCTGAATAGTCTCTTCTTATTTATGATTTTTTTTTAAAAAATAAGGTTTCAAAAGAAAAAAAAAACTGAAATATTAAGCATTTTGCTGAGAAACTGATGAAAAAATAAAGCCCTTGAAAGATCTGTCCACAAAACTGTAGATCTAACTAGTCACTCCTTTTCCATTCCAGAGAATCCCTTGAATGCTTGCTTTCCTTCAGTCAAAAATTCCTGCTGCAAAAATATTTTCCTCAAAAGCCCAATTCAAATCCAAACCCTGTTGCTTTATAAGCATTAACGCTGCTTTTAAAACATCAGTTTCTTCATCCTGGTACTACAATACAGCAGTGGGCTTAGCCAATGTACTCTCTTGGTTACATGGAAGGCAAGGGGCAGATGGCCCAGGCAGGGGAAAGGGACATTAACATTCTTTCAGGATTGATGGCAAAGTTGGTGCTCATTCTAATCTTGCAGGAAATTAGAAATGCACATCAATCACCACTGCCAGCTTTGCAGTGTAAGGGTCAGTGTTTAGCCATGAGCAAAATATAGATGATAATTTCTTTATTTCCTTAGGAAAACCTGAGGCAGTAAATTAAATAAAACAATAAAAGCTGAAATAACAGCAGGTTTTTTTCTGCTTCAAGTATCTGACCTTCTGTATCTATGCTGATCTAATATTTCACTATGTAATTATTTAAAAGTGAAAAGAAAATATCATCAATTATGCTAGCTGTTTTGAATATTTTGAGGATATTTTGAGATGCATGAATGAAAGCAGCATAGTATATAAAAATTAAAAATGGTAAAGGTCATCAGCATATTTTTAATCTCAAAAAAAAATTTCAAAGTTCAGTGCATATATTCTGCATTTTTAAGAGGTGCCCTATATGATTACACTTTATTTTCTACTAATGAAAATACTTTAACAACATTAAAACATAAATAGAAAGCCATTGAAATTCACCATCTAAAATCCATGACATGTTTAAAAATGCAAAGCTGCTCATCCTCATATAAACTTAGAATTTTCAGCAGAGATTAAGGATAAAACATTCTAAAAGCTGTCAAGTAAGCTTACAAAGAAGCAATTCAATTCCTTTTCTCACAAGCACTTCTAACCTAACCAGCATGGGCCCCTTTGAATATTTTACAGTGTTGCTGCCTGTCCGGAGTTCAGTGCCCTAAATACAGAGTACAGCATAAAAGGTATAAGGCATTAAAAAAGCAAACAAAGAAGGAAAAACAACACCAAAAAGAAGTAGGAAGGCATTTGAGTTCATGCCTTGTAGACTGAATCAGCATTTCTTAACACTATATTATTACAGCGCTCTAAGAGCTATTTCAATTATAAATGTTCTAAAATTGAACTGGAAATTCAGCCACAGTCAAATGGAAGATTTGTTTCTGGTGACGCAGGCTTGCAGCATTGTGCTATTTTCATTCCAGTGGCCCACAGCAAATATTCATTATTGCAACTGTCACTGCTTGGCTTTGGTATAGAAGTTGATTGCTGATATTGTATGGAACTGGACTCGAACAGCAAAAAAAAAAAAAAACAAAACAAAACCAAAAACAAAACAAAAACAAAAAAAGGAACACTTCAGGATTTCAGGATTCAAATGAATCCATTTGTGACTCTGGCCTTAATATAGCAACAGAATAAAAACTGAAAATATAAAAATATTACATTACAATCTAATCTTAGTCACTGGCAAAATCAAAGGTCTGTTTTAACAAGAGACAAAGACAGATGAAAAAATACTCTGTGAGAACTGACTTCTTTGAGTACTACAGATACCATGGTTCAAAATGGAAAACTGCATTGTGATTAAGTTTCTCCTAAATAAGCAGGATTAATTTTATATCCCAGCTACAAGACTCATGAATTTTCTTTAGTCTGAAGAAAAAGAAAATTACAAGTCATGTTTTTCTTCTGAGTATGTGAAAGTTTCACTCATCAGTTCCTGCCACTAAGTCTAAGAATTTCTTATCCTCAAGCTATAAATAGACCCACAGAGAGAAACACACTCTGACTTCAAACAAATCGCAAATATTTATGAGCATGTTTTTTCTTCCTCAATCTCAACTGGCACACATTTAAAAATATCTGATTTAGCGCATACCCATGCATTCTGGTCTCATTTATATCAAACTTCACCTTTGACATAAAAGGATTAAGCATTTGGCCCATAACACTGTTCAGGGCAAAAAAATAAACAACAAAACAACCCAAAAACCCGCAACAACTGCACCTCTGCAGAAGGTAGAAAACACATTCTTTCTCATAACAAACAGAACTTGATATGAAATATTTCACTTTATGAGACCACTTAGTATTGCAGAAACATCATCAGCTGGCTATATAGCTTATAACAAACCCATGTCAATGATCCCATTCAGACCCTTGATACTGGCACATTCAAGGCTGGGACTGGGACGCAGTATATTATTTTCCTGACTACTAGGAACTGTGTCCTCAGTTTCCTTGGGCTGCTTTGAAAATTCCATTTTCCACTACTTCTGCGGTAATTACATTTGAAGATAAGACTTAATCTCTTTAGAATCTATAAATAGAACAGTGAAGTACACCAAAACCAAAGTACCACCTCCCAAAAAAAGGACAGCTGACAGATATTTTTGTGCTTAGCTGATTCTCTGTTCTCATATGCTGTAACATAAGCATGTGTGCTAGCACACCGACTGGCTCCAGCACTTAAACAAAACACTGAAGTACTTTGACTCAAATGTATCAACTTCTTATCCTTTATATGC